AGAGAGAGCCGAGGGCGGCGGATGGCAAGGTGGGGTCCCTTGACCTGGTGCTTGGGTGGCAGGGGCTGGCGCTACTGCCAGCCAAGAGGCGGGCAAGGGGGCCTTGCTGCCTCCAGGCGCCTCCTCGGCTCTCCTGGGTGGCTGGGCAAGAAGGACCACCTTGGCTGCTCCTCCTCAAGGGCCCACCTGTCCCTTTCCTCTGTCCAAGGGAGGAGGTGGAGTCCGGCCTGACCTTCCTGGGCTTCCTGGTCATGGAGAACCGCCTGAAGAGCGAGACCAGGCCCGTCCTGGAGGAGCTCAGCAGGGCCCGCATCCGGAGCGTGATGGTCACAGGTGGGTGACCTGAGAAAGCCTCTTGCTGCGCTCCACGAGAGTTCAGCAGATGGTCCAGCCGGCATCCACATCCTGGTCTGTGGATCAGCGGTGCCCGACGTGGGTCGCATCGGGAGCAGGAGCCCGGGCTGGGCCTTGGAACAAGCCCCACGAGCAGGCCGCTTCTCCCAGGCTTCTCCTGACTTCTCCTCCCGTTGGGCTTCCTCCTCCACCACCACTCGTCCCGTGCCTCCCTCCCTTTGGGGCAGCAAAAACAACAAGAAGTCTTGTTTTGGGACAGCAGAGGCATCCCCTTCTGTGCAAGGAAAGGGGGTATGCCGCCATCTGGCACCAAAGCGGCGCCCTTCTTGCCCGCTTCCCCAGCCCGTCTGCCTGAAGATGAGGGCGAGGGTGAGGCAGGGCCCGTCTCCAGCACAGACTTCCCGGAGCTCCAGGATCAGTCAGTGACTCCGCCGTCTCGACTTCCTTCCAGGCGACAACCTTCAGACCGCGATTACTGTGGCCAGAAACGCAGGCATGATCCTCCGGGGCAGCCAGGTGATTCTGGCCGAGGCCGGCGCCCAGCCAGGCCAGCCCTCGGCCTCCGTCAGCTGGCGAGTGCTGGAGGAGGTCACCCTGGGGGGCGGCAGCTGCGCAGAGGTGAGTGGACCGGTGGAAGGGGGCCAGAGGTGCTGGTGTGGCTGGGCAAACCTCTCAGTGGCTGCCCCCCCGCCCTCCCGGCCCTGTCAGGATCTGCCCTGGCTGGGGTGGGGAAGAACAAAAAGGCCGGGGGGGCGGGCACCGCCAGAGGCCCTGGCCTCGAAGAAGCACGGCCTGCTGAATGCAGCCAGCTTGCTTTCTTCCACCGGGGAGGCCACCTCCCCCAGGGAGGGCAGGGGGAGAGGGGAGAAGAGCCCTCCTGGCATGTGGCCGTGGGAAGGACTTGCGCCTTTACGTGGCATTGGCTCCTTTGGGAGATGCCAGTTTGCCAGGGGCATTTCTGCTCCGGCCCAGTCTGTGCCACACGGTGCCCTTTCATCTCAGGCCAGAGCTGCCTTCCGACCCTCTTCCTCCACCCCTAATTGTGACACACCCTGTTTCTCCCCCGGGGTTGCACCTGTTGGACCACTGTCTGCCCCGGCAACCTGCTGAAGGGAGGACCCCGCGTCCAAAGGAGGGAACGAAACATAAAGCGGGAACAGCCGCCTCCCTCCTCTGGATTTTGGAAACCTTAATAAAAGTGATGGGAAGGGCGTTGGGAAGGAGGTGACGCTGAGCCCCCGGGAAGCCTGGGAGAATCCCTTCCCCTCCCCTCGTGAGGCTGGGGGTGCTGAGCTGTGTGCTGGCTGGAGAGCGCTCTCC